TCAGCTGTAGAGCCTCAAATCATCTCTGAATTGGTGCTGACACTGTCCTTCCTTCTGGAGGGTGGCTACTTTTCTTCCCCATGGTCCCTGTGTGTGTTGTAAAGTAGCCACTGCTCCAAGCTCACTCCTGTGATAGACTATAATTTCAATACAAATTGGTAAACTAAAACGTGTGATTAAAGGCGATCACGGGAGTGAGCTTGGAGCAGTGGCTACTTTAAAACACACGCAGGGACCATGGGGAATAAAAGTAGCCACCCTCCAGAAGGACAGTGTCAGCACCAATTCAGAGATGATTTGAGGATCTACAGCCGAGCGATACACAAGGTACAGTATTGTTAATAGTTAAGGTACTTGAATGCATTTTTAAGCTTTTACTCCTGAGTTTATAGTGAGAACTATGATAACCTGCAATATTACCTACTAAAAACAAACATGACAATCTTAAGGTGGCTATATACCAGAATTTAATTTACTAAAAGTTTGGTTCTGGAATGTTCGTTTGATTTTGTCATAGTTTTTTGGGTCAAATCGATGATCATTTTTATCCATAGTGACGAAAAAATAAATACATTGTAGGAGCAGAATTAAAGACTTTTCACTGGCCAACAAAGACCTGCAAGAGCTGGGATGGGGTCAAATCCTCCATAAAGAAGACTGCTTGATATTTGCACATCAGACCACGACTGAAATTCAGGGCACCTGAGACACTCTACAGCTGAGCTAAGGTGTCTGCTATGTGGCAGCAGTGCCCCCTTAGAAACCCTAAAATTACTTCAGGCTCACTTTAAAGCAGCTAAATTGGGATTATAATTAGAAAAGCTTTCATTTTCAATACTATGTAGTTATGGCAAACCAAGTGTAGTAAATATTTCTTCATTTGTAGCTGTTTCAACTAATGATGCACAGATCTCCTCAGCACACTTACCATATAACTTTTCCTTACATGGCATAACCTGACATTCATATTTATAAATCACCAAGCATATAATGAAACATATTTGTTATACTTCTAGGATCCCTATGTGTTAAACTGAAATCAACTGAATGGAATACACTAAAAGAACATCCTAGAGTGCATGTTTTAAATGCCTCTTGGTTAGAGCACAAACAAGCAAATACACTTAAAACAGACCTCTGGCAGGGGAGATATCATGATCATGAATGTGATTCACCCAGGGCACTCCAGGTGTGCCGACCCCTGCATTTTCCCCAAATGCGGGAAACTCGACTGCATAAAAAACAAAAAACACAGACTTCTTAGTTTTGGGTAGAGTGTAGGCAGAACATAATTCTTCATAAGGCATTCACTGGTGTCTGAGCATCGGGGATATTAACTTCCACTTATGCGCAGTTGTGACAGGCAGCGGCTTAACTTAGAACTAAAGGTGCTTGTTGGCACTCAAAAACAAAATCTCCCCACTATTTTGCACAACCTAGGGATTAAGCTATGCACCACAGCACCCAAAACTAAATAAGATATTTTGTGTAAAATTTGTGTGCAGCTCTATCAGACTTACTGGTTCTTTACAGCTATTTAGTCCAATCTACAGGAGCGTGGGGCAGTAGGAGGTGTTTGCTGTTAAATTAAACTGCATTGTCTATAAAGATTAGATGGAGATGATCAAGGATATATACAGGAGTACAGCAAGGCTTCAGACCCAAAACTTTATGGATTATATTACATTGTAACTCTGAACTGTGCATCTAAGAACAAAAAGACAGGCATGTGCAATTTTTTTAAATACTTTTTACATACTTCTTGCTGAACTTTATGTCTCATCAGCAATGTTTTTTAACCCCTTTACAACCAGAGGTAGGTTACAGTTTCAAACTGTGCCTGCATTTACATGGTAAAAGGAACCTATCAACATGGAAATGTGTGAGCTTGCAAGGCAAGGTGCCAGTTCTGGGGCTGAAATCCTATCATTGCTTCACTATAAAGTATATATACTTAAGGCAATGACACCAATCAAGTATGTCGATAGTTTAAATTCCCAAACTGCATGCTTGTTTCAAGTCTGTGACTCTGGGTAAAAAAAAAAAAAAAGCAACAATAAGGATAACATGGTAGGTCCTATATTTCAAGAATCCCATGTTTCCTTCAATACTTTTGGAAACGCTCATAGTTTTAAAGTGAAAGATGCCATAGAGGTAAGTGTAAATTATACTTAGCTTCTACAAAGCTTTTAAGTAAATCTTCCTGTAGTTATTTAATAAAAGTCCAATCACGAGGATACCATTGATTTCTGCCAGAAGTAGACATGTACCTAGTTTCAGAACAGTGTGGAGGCTTCATAAGTGTCATTATTCTTTAAAACTAAAAAAGTGACAAATATATTTTACCTGTGATTTAATAGAAAGAGCTAGAAAATACATTGAGGCTGATTTACTAAATCATTTGAAAATGTTTACCCTATAAAATGTGTGAAGATTCACTTCAATTATCCAATCATGTGAAAACAAAATCTGTTTAACTCACTTCATCTGCACATAACTGGATCATGAAGTGAATTTTCACACAATTTATTGTGTGAACATTCTAAAATATTTGAATAAATCATCCTCCTATTCTTGAGACCCTGAAGGAAAGAAAAAAATAATAATGAACTAAGACAGACGCCATCAATCAGCAACCCTAAAACCTGTCATTTCAAGCTATGCCTTATTAACCAGGGTCTAACTGGTGGCACGTGATTCAAAAACTGAAAAATCAGATAACATAATGAAGTTTAATTTATTAAAGGCAAATAGGCTGTTCACTTTGCAAGGGGATTTGCCCTTTGCAGGGGGAAGTTTCCCCTTACTTTAGTGAATGAATTCAACTCCCCATCATCCAAATATGTGCAAGCAGAAATACTGGTTTTCTATTTTTCTTGCACATGATTGCAAAGTATATTCAAATTGAAATTTCAATGCTTTACCCAGCCGTAAGAAAATTCCCCTGCAAAGTGCAAAATCCCTTTGGCCAATGTTGAATCCAATGTAAACGTATTTGCCCTTAGTAAAATCAGCTCCAATGTGTTCAAGCAGCTCTAGCTTAAGGTCAGCTAAAGACTGACTGGTCAAACTGGCAAGAAGACATAGCAATCCAGTCACAGGTAAGCCTGCTATACAGACTAAGCAATGTACATTGTGACACCTGCAGAATACACAATTGTGGAGTTTACTTTAGAAGTCTACATGGCCTACAGGCTCCTGTTACCTGCCTAAAGCTTTATTTGTCTCAACTGGCGAAATAGTTGGACAAAGTATATGCACAATGCATTAAGCGGGGATTAAGTTCTACAAATATTACAAGCCCAGCCAAAACTGAGACCTCAATATCACCGACTATTTGTCAGGAGCTCCAAGGCAAGATCATCCTACACTGGCTCCTACAACAGCAATGACAAAGGACAGGGTAAAGAGTCTAACACCTTCTGCTCCTTAATAATAAACAGTACAATAAGGCCTTTTGGCAAGTGAGGACTTGTAATAAAGACCGTCTTGATTATAGTCTAGCTTATTTAACAAACAAGCCAACATCCACCCCACAAGTAAACTATCAGTTTTGCATGGATGGACTCTTAAGATGCTGCATCGTAACAGTCCAGTGTGGATAAATATATACACACAAACTATTTTCAAAACATGCTATATGAGCTAAATTAAATGAAGAAAAAGGAACAATCTTGGCTATTGTTATTATCTTAACAAGCAGACATTTTATCTAAGTCACAAGAATTTCAGACATTCTGTAAAAACATAAAATAAAAATAAAAAATCAATAGAACAAGTGATCCAATACAAAGATAACAAACATATTGAGACTAATGGGAGGATAAAGTGATGATGTGCTTTGGTGCAGACGTCAACTTTTTTTTACTTTTAACTGAACATATTTTGTAGTTTAACATGAAGGTCACTGAACAAGAATTGCAGTGGGGAATGTCATTGTGTGACAGACAAAAGGAAATGCCATTTGTTGACAAAGGAATTACAGTTACCATGAATGTGGGATATACATGGCCATATGACCTGTTGTTACATTCGTACATCCAATTAGCCATGTGAACATGTTCTCCATTACTACAGGCACAGTGTTTAGCAGCAACAGCGATCAGTGATACTTACTGTATACCCCACTTATAATCTTTACTAAAAGGTAACTCTATAGGTATGCTCAACATGCATAACTATGATATACATACAGTTTTCAATTAACTAAACACTAACGGTGTATAGCTATATATAGATATATTTATAGATATATATGTATTTGTTTCTTTAAATAAAAATAAAACTTTTCAGTGCTTGTACACCTAACATACAAAGTCAGCAACCCTTGTGCAAAACAATACGCAAGTAAGGGCAGATTTGGTATGGTTCAGTTGTCCATTGTTATAAATGAGAACCCTATGCCACTATTCAGGTGGAACAATGGTTTTCTATTTAAGCATCCACATTTTCTTTGCTAAGAGATGCTGCATAAACATTTCAGTCAAACGACATCTAATTAAAAGAATACTAGAACATTCATCAATTGTTTTTATCCATTGTGACCAAATACACACGCACAGAGGAAAGAAGACAGGGAAGAATAGGGTATTTAAACTTACAGTATAAACAAACTTCCATTGAACAACAGGCCTATACAGAGGTGCACCATTATAAATATAGGGAGAGATATATTCATATATAAAATAGCTGTGATGGGAGAAGTTTTGTTAAAAGGCATAACTGAACACATTTCACTCTTTCACCTTTTTAAATTGCTACTTGTTCATCCCATACTTCATTCGGTGCAGCTATTTTTGATGGTTTTTAACAGTTTTAAATCTTGAGACGTAGAAATCCTTGGCTGTAAACAGTGTAAACAGTTAACACACACTGTCAGCTTCCATTCTACTCTTTGTCACTGATGGTTCCTGTGTCCGATAAACATTCAGAACTCCAGCAGAAGAGCTCTGCAAACATGTAAATGCATTTCCAATACATTCACAGTTATAAATGCCCTGTAAATAAGCTTGGCAGAACTTTTGTTTTATCAAATTAAAATGCACAGAAAGGGAAAAAAAAAAAGGTTTTAGATAATATTTCTCATGTGTATAATATATCTATACATCTATAAAAGTAGAAATATAGATATATGTAATTAGCTTTGATAGTGCAATTCAAGTCTTACCTAAGGTTTCTTAAATGTTGAACTTTGTGCTGATCAAAAACATACTGGAAAAGTCTTGAATTATTGAAGCAGCTCCAACGGAGGCTAGTACACTTGTAAGAGTATTTGTGTTGTAATTAAACCTAGATACCAGACTCTTGATGTACTATTTTTGTCCAAAGGTATTCTGCTAAAAAATTAGGAGTTAACAGAAAATGAAAAATGGGGAAATCTTCTAAAATACTATAGCATTTGTCTCCAATAAAAAGACTTGAATTATTTTTCTATGGTGTTCCATTGGCATTTCATCTATTCAGGACACTCTTGCTCTTCACTACTGTCCACGCGTACATCCATTCTCTTTTCTTTATGGCCATTGTAAATTTTTCTCATTTCTTCTTCATACTTGATAAAATTGTCACCAAACCTCGTCCATACTTTGTAAGGAACTGTAATAGTGTTGCGGTAGGGTGGTCTAACCTCACTTACCCTCAGAAATATGCCATAACGGTTGGAACCAACATCAAAGTAGAACCTCTTATTGTCCACTCTGAATGATGTTCCTTCTGGAAGCTCAGGGGGTTCATCTACACCCCCTCTTCGCTCTTCTATGTCTCCTTCTCCGTAGTCTTCAATAAGCTGAACCAGAGCATCCCTAAATTCAATCATTCCTTGGGCTGGCAGAACAATAGTCTGCTCCTGACCCAAACTCTGGCCAAAGTAGCCAATCATTCCAGGCCCTCTGGTCATAGTTTGTCTAATTCTTAAAAAACGTCCACGCTGGTTTTCTTTAAGGTCTAGATAATATTTTCTATTGTCTCTTTCAATATATTCAGTCTTCAGAACACTGTGTGTTGTAGGTTCTTCTGATCCAACAGATCCCGAAGGGGATACTGGATGTGGTCTCCTCCTGGAATCGTGCTCCTTATCACTTCCATGGTCACTGCGTTGAGAATGACTGCTTCGAAGACCCAGGTGAGCATAATGCTCAATGAAATCTCCCAAACAATCCTTTAATTCAGCAGCAACAGACAAAGATAAAGTCAACTTGCTTTTTCTGATGTTATCTTGTCGCCCTCTTCCAATCCAGACTTCAGCTATTTTCAAAAAACGGCCTCGAGCACTCTGCTTGACATCCAAATAAAATCTCTTTTTTTGAATATCTACTCTTTTAGATGCCAGTTCCTGTATCTCTAAATTCTGCGAGGAGGGGTAGTTGTATTGTTGTGGGTAAATATTTCTGCTCATGCTTGCCCCTTCCCTTTGGCCTCTTCCTCGATCCATGTTTATTCTCTCAAACAACTGTAAAAAGAAAAGCATTAAAAAAGGTGCAATAGATTAGAAGAAAAAAAAATAATGCCTTGTAAAGATCCTGGTATGCGATTCCCAGTATGCATGAATGCAACTTCAAGGGCATCTTTTTAGGTTTTGTTAGTTGTGATGTTTTCATACATGTGAAAGTGATCAGCTTATTGTAAGCTTATCAGTGTGGTAATGCATTTAAAAAGAGAAAAACAAAAACCGTGTTTCTCTATATGTAGTTTGTAATAACATGTACAGGGGGTAGCCATATTTGTTCATTATATAAGACCTAAGATACTTTAGCTTTGGGTAACATGAGGGAGATTGGCAGCAACCTTTTTTTCATTAAAAGAAAGAAGTCAACAGGCCGTTCCAGGCATTTACCCCTTCAGTTGCAAAACTCCCCACTATGCCAAGGAATAGGATGCCCATAGGGCAGTGATAAGTATAAAATACACAACTATACTAGGAAAGGGTTAGCTTAGTTTTATCTTTCCTAATTACCTACCGGACAACAGGATAGTTAGGTTTTAAACAAGGCTTCCTATTAAAAAAGTGTTTGAGTAATGGGGGGGAGATTTATCAAAACTAGAGGAGACAGAATCTGGAGCAGTTGCCCAGTAGCATCTCTCTTCAGTATGCTCAGTTAGGATTTGAAAAAAAGATAGAGAAGCTGATTGACTGACTAATTAACTTTGAGACTGTAAGAATGCTGGAGTAGTGGATCTAATTTAATTCATTGCTATAACCAACAGCTTTGTTTGGCCCTCAATATCTCCTTAATTAACCCATTTGCCTTTTAAAAAATAAAAAAAATGTATAAGCATCAGTTTTTCTTGCTTGACATCAGACATAAACCCCTAATTCTGACATAAAATGAAAAAAAAACTTCACACACCAAAAATACAGCACTAAAACAAACCAAATGTCCTGCCAGGGGGCGCGCGCGAGCAGAAAAAAAATGCCGTCTGGAGAGACGGCAACCCACCAATGCTTCAGTGCCGTCCGTCCGTTTTTTTACAACGGGCGGACGGCAAGTGGTTAACCTACCAGAAAATCTGAATGAAAACAGACAAATACTCACCTATGCCCAAGCAAAAATATCATCAAGGTCTTTCAGTACCCTCTTCAACACCAAAGTTGCAACTCCTGTTAAAGAAATTGCAATAATAAAACTCCCACATTAAATGCAATATAACGCAACACAATATTTACTTCAAACAAATAAAATACTGTATGTTATTGGAAACTACTATTGCATTAAAGGAAACATATCAGTGGTGACGAGGGAGCATGGAGACGGCTTCCCCTCTGACTTTTTTCCCATTTTTTAAAATCCTTCTTTTTTTTAAATAATTGTATTGTAAGCAAATAGCGCTTGAATAGCTTCAGCTAGGGAATGACAGCTGCCAGTGGCAAGATTCCACAGACGGCAGCTGAATGTAAATACAGCAAGTAGTGGGCTGGTGCAATAGCCAGCCTGCTATTGGCCATTTCAATTTGCAATAGCCACTAGCAGGCTGGCTATTGCACCCACCCACTGTTTGCTGTGTCCTTCTCCCAGCACGGAGGAGATAGCTAGGGGATGCAACCAACTAATCTATAATGAGAATAGTTCACAACTATTCTCAATATCAATTATTATCGATTAGTTGGTTGCAGCCTCACTGGGATACAGAACTCCATAAAACACACAATATACCGTTATAACTGTTTTCTGACACCAGAAAATACAAGAAAAATGTTCCAATAGTGAAACCCATTTGGTAACAACAGATCTCCCTTACTAACATAGTTTTGTATTTATTGGACATGAACTAAAGAAAACTCTCCCACACTAATGGCAAAAAACCCCCCACAAAAACCTTGACAGGGGTTTTACCATTTCCCATTCTACCCAAAGCTAAAAAAAATGGCTTAATTATAAATCAACTGTATTATATTCATTATTACAATTCTCATTATATGACCTGAGTTTACAGCACTATATGATTTCTAATCCTTACTGGGGGTCCAAAAGAAACACCCTGTGCCATATTAGTCCTAGTTTAGAAAAATGTCTGTTGCTTTTAGAAACGAGCTAGATTATCTAACCAATACTAGAAGCATGAAAGGGAGAATCTTAATGATCTATACAATAGTTAGCCGCTGTAGACACATTGACAAAGGGTCTCTTATTTTTTAAATCATAACTGCCCTCACTTGGAACATCTATTCCAAACTATTGTGGCAAAAAGAACTATGAAAAGCACAAGATATGTCAACAGATGATACATAATCATGCCATACTGAAATGTACCTGAAAACATCACTGTGACTGGGATATGGTTTTATTCCCTCATATATCACTTGCTACCAAGGGAAAAGCAATAAATTCACTTAACTGCCACCCTCCCCAGTTACACTTATGGCAAGTGTTCATGTGCTTTTGTTGCTAGCAGAATTGCTTCTCTTCCCACACAAATCTATGGGAACGCAAAAGCATCTCAAAAGCAGGTAAAATGCAAGTCAGAAGGAAGTGAACTGCAGGTTAAATGTGCCTTCAATTAATTCTGAATGATCTTAGAAGCATCTCACACAGATATAAAAAACAAGTTCGACTGACCAAAGAGCTTCACGATTGGCCCTTATTTACATTTCTTTTGCTCCCTTGGCACTGGTTACCTTGTTTAAACTCCCAGTTGCTTCTTGGAGCTTACACAGGGATAAGGACCCTCTCCCCACCACCATGCGAGTGTGCTGGATGGCCGAGCTGCCAATTACCAAGCACCGTCCAACAGAAGGAAGAGCAAGGAGACAGGTGCTATCCATACTTGGCCATAATGGGTATTTCTCTCCACTCCTGGAGTTCGAATGGAGCAGTGAAGGAGCTAAGGAAATGTGTATGTGAGCAGCAGTTACGTAAATCTGCTACTTGGCCAGGTTAATTTAAAAAGGATAACATGTCACCAATGGACATTTGTAATAATCTAAATTTTTACATGCAATATACTAGCTTTACCTATGAGGGATATGATTTATGATTATTCTCTAGTATTCTCTCCCTATCACAACATAAGTGTCAGGTCAAAAGTAAGGTTCCCACAAAAACCATCCTAGCTCATGCCTTAGCTAATTACCTCAGTGCTAATAACAATAAAATGTGACATCTTTGAAATCTATAATAAACTATGAGGATTCCTTAACCCCCACTCCCAAAGTGGCACTTTTATTGATTTTTCCAGGCCATAATAAAACACTAGAAACAATTTGTGCCTGGACATTATAGCAGCAGCTCCCAACCTCATCTCCACTATCTACATCAGGGGTGCCCATTAGGTAGATCGTGATCTACCTGTAGCTCTCAAAGCTGATGCTGGTAGATCAGGAAGGGTGTGAATGGTGGCCCCTTTATTCCATTTTGGTATATTTATTTAGCTGTGCACACATGATTACCGATTAGCCTGAGTCTGCTGAGCCGAGCTCCCTGACACCTTTCTGGTGGATACTGGCGGTTGAAGTGCTATGTATTATATCAAAGAATATTAGTTTACACAGCCTGCGGCACTGCACTGTTTGCAAAATACAGCAAGGTGAGCCAGGAGAGAGAGAGAGAGAGCGCGAGGAGAGCCAGCCAGGAGAGAGAGAGAGCCAGCCTCAGGACGACGAGCAAGGAGAGACAGGACGACGAGCAAGGAGAGACAGGACGACGAGCAAGGGAGATTTGTTTTTTCGTTTGTAGATCTCATGTAGCTCGTCATTTGAAAAGTAGATCTTAACACAAAAAATTGTGGGCACCCCTGATCTACATCATAATGCACATGGAGGTACTCTTAAGCCCTTGATAATGATTCCTTAAAGTAGCATTAAGGTCTGGGTGTTTTTTACCTTAATGCATTCTCTGCATTAGGATAAAAATGGCACAGCACCTTTTTTCTACGCCAGTCCCCCCCCACACTTACCCGTCAGCTGCACTCGTCCCCGCCGCCGTTCCGAAGAGATCATCCGTTCCCCGAACGTCCGGGTTGCGGATACTGATGGCAGAGGAGCCATAGGCTCCTTCTGCCGTCAAAGAGGGAAGGGGCGTGGCCTGCCA